TTAAACCCCATAGAAAATCTCTGGTGGGATTTGAAGAAGGTGGTTGCAGCACGCAAACCCAAGAATTGGACTAAAATACCTCAGAAACGCTGCCAGAAGCTGATGTCTGAATAATACATCTTGTTTGCAGCAGGTAACAGCAAAAGGGTGTTCTACTACATACAAAAGATGCTTGCCATGAAAGGGTTGAATAATTTTAAGACTCCAGAAGTCATTCAAAGTTGCATTTTCAGTTGAATTTGGAAACCACTTGAAAAATTTGTTATGTTGAACTATTTCAAACTTTTGTTTGATTTGTAAATTGAAAACAGCTGTAAGTCTGTTATTTTTGCCAATAAACTTTATTTACAATGAAAGTTGAATAGTTTTGATTAGAAAGTCTATTAATTTGGAACAGTTGTGGTTGACCGACAGTTGTTTGAAAAAAAGCGTTCCTGTGAGATGAACGAGGAAAGAGGAGCGGGCAAAATGAAGAAAGGGTTATTAGATAAAACAATGAGGAAGGGCACTAATTCTAAAGGCAGGAATAAAGAGGGATTGCTAGGGATTGTGAGAGGGACAGACCCGTCCATTTTGTAGTCTGGCTGAAGGCAGACTGCTGGTGCTGCTGCAGAGATCTGTGTGGTTACCCTACGGTAAGCAGAGGAGGACAAAGAACAATGTGAGAATGAGAAATAAAAAAAGCCCCATGAAATAGCTGAGGTGACAGATTGTTGCACAAGTGTGATGAAGAATGAATGAAAGAGGGAACAAGCAGTGAAAGGACTCTGTGTGCAAACAGTGGTCGCACAGAGTCTGGATTACCAATTCCATCAGCTATTTTACTAACATTGTTTCTCTTTGCATTTCACTGATGTTTGCTTACACTACCACTCAAAAGTTTATAATAGGCTAATTGCGATTTTGTTATGTTTTACAATTTTAAAATGTTCTATTTTAATATATTTTAAAATGTGTTTATGTTGTGTTTAGTCCTTTGATGGCAAAGCTGAATTTTAAGAATCATTATTCAAGTCTTCAGTGTCACATGATCCTTCTTATATGTCATCATTCTTATATGCTGATTTGCCACCACATGAATTAAAATTATATTTTTAAATATATTTAAATAAAATGTGAATTATTATAAACTGTAATAATGCAACCTTGGTGAGCATAATAATAAAACAAAATAAAAAATAATAATAATTAAAATTCCAAACTTTTGAGCAGTAGTGTAAGTCCTGAATATCTGTTTTTATTTAAGTGACATAAGATTAAAATTAAGAAAAAGTAAACTACCACTCTTAAACTTGTGTGTTAAGCAGAAGGAACTGGTGTAAAATCTCCAGGTTTTTTAATAATTTCGTATCATCCAAATAGTAGCTTTATAAGAGGAATCACAGGTATACTAACCCTCAAACTCCCCCGACTGCCAACAGACATCCGCTCCTCATCATCTGATATCTGAGACAGGAAGAGAAAGAAAACAGAGTTTAGAACTGTGCTTTGGGTAAACCAGTGTACTTCTCTAGCAAATGTGGGTCAAAAAAACAATTAAATGCATTTAAAACATTTCTTATCAGTGAATTATTAAAAAATATATATAATTAAACTTTTTTGTGTACCTACTGTACTTGCTATAATGTGTCAGAATTGTGAGATATAAACTCATATCTCACAATTCCGACACATTATAAGTGCAAGAAGAAAGGTCAGAATTGTGGGATAAAAAGTTGCAATTACTGCGGCAAGTTTCCATGAAAAAAACAATATATGACCATTTAGATGGTAAATGTGTGTGTGTGTGTGTAATGCTGCGTTCCAGGCAGGTTTTTGAGCTCGTAAATCACGACTTCAAACCACGACTTACGACTTTGTAGCATTCCAGATCATTCACGCCAAACTACCTAGATGTAAACAAACCAGCATGGCGGACCTTACGGGGCTCACGCGCATTTGTAATAATTTCTAACGCCAAAGGTGCTTACTCCTTGTTTCTTTGTGGGAAAACTGAGGAGGAAAAATAGTGCGTGAGGCAAGATAAGCTGTTATAGCTTTTATTTTACTTTAGAATTATTATTATTTGTATATTTGGAAATGTATGGTATTAATTTATCCTTGCACTCAATGGACTGAAAACTAGTTAACGTTATGTTGTCCTAAAGTGTCCTCACCGTGTACAACCTGCAGAAACCCTGCATCCGTAGGGGCTGTCATTGTAGTTTTGTATAGGTTCGCGGGCTATGTGACGTCAGAACTCGTAACTGGGAGTACATCGATCTAGTACGAGTTCACGGGTGGGAAGTCTCGGGTTTGACTGCCGTTCCAGTGCACTTTCACGGGTGTAAGGTTGGAAAAACACGAGTTACAGGTTGCCTGGAACGCGGCATAAGCCTACATTGCCTGTTTGTAGTTTGTATGGACTATTTTTATGACACTTTTTTATGACACAGGTATGACAGTTTTATGATGCTTGAAAACTTCAGTCCCTGCCAGTTCACTGTAACTGCATGGAAATTAACATGAAATTTAGTTTTTTAACATTGTAGATTTGATTAAGTGATTTTCATTTTTGGGTGAAGTACATATGACATCTGTTAAGAACAGCACACTACAGGCCTTTAGCAAAAATAAAATGTAGGAAGTGAGTGATGAAGAAGAGGACCGAATGCGGAAGAAGGGGGAAAAGGGGGAAAACGGGACTAAGGAAATATTAAAAAAGGGAATAATCATGTAGGACAAAAAGCAGATGGAGAGATACAGACCGAAGTATGTCTCCTAGAGTGGCGGGAATACCGCTCACTGTCCTCCTGAAAAGCAGAGCGGGAAAAGAGGACAGAAAGCAGGAAGTTTTAGGTCAAAAGGTCACATGACTTTCAAACACTGCAAAAACTGAACAACAAAGCATGCACTGGGAGATTACGCTGTCTGTCATATCACGGTTTATTACAGGGCTCAGACAGGGTGTCTGGAGGGGTGGGAGGGGAGGGTTGAGTGCTTTAAGATGTGGGTCAAGCGACCGCCCTATAATCCTGCTGTATGTTATGACCACCTCTACTAAGCCCTAACATGTCAGATGGGCCTCCTGCCCCCCACTGCTCCAGTAAAGCCTGTGAAATGAGGATCAGACACAGACTGCCTGAGAGACATGCAACACCAACCAATCACATTTCATTCTCCGAAGGATACATTGTGATAGTTAGGGGTTGATTAACTGCATTCGGGTGCTGTGTGCTGTGTGGGACCTGTTTCTAATTCGAATTCTATCTTTGGCGGTCTATTGCATGCAGCAGTGTGGTATAATAACAGGTCATACCATCCACTGTTCAATATGGCCCCATTTGTTGTCCAGCCCATAGTATTTCTGGTGCAGAGAGGAGGAGAGCATGAGGAAGACGATCAAATGAGGAAGGGTTATAATGAAAGTATAGGAGGATGTTAAAAACAAGTTTGCAAGAGAACTTGGTTTGAGACTGGTCTTGTTTATTTCTTCCTCAAGCTTTAGCTGTATTTTTATAACCTGATGTTAATAAAACAATGCAAATAACTACAGGTTGTATTTCTAATGATCAAATATGAGGACTGTTAGAAAGACATTATGGAGGGACAGATCTTACCTTTTGCGCCTGATATATCTAATTAAACCGCAAGGAAACCAGGGTGAAGAGAAAGAAAGAAAGAAAGTGAGACAGGAAGAAAGAGATATAAAGAGCTTAAAGGAGACTATAGGGATCATTTGTAAATAAATCAGGATAGAGCTGGTATAAAGAATAAAAATCTGTCATTTTACTCAACCCAAAACATTCTTAAAAGCCTTCTAAAAATGATGCTGATTCAAAATGCCAACAAACTAACAATATCCTATGGGATCACATTTAAATTTAGCAATTGATCACATGATGCACTGAACTTTTTCAGCATTAATACTAATAAGATTAATAATAAGAAGAACAACTGTTCCAGTTATCAGCATATTCAAATGTTTTCTGAAGGATCATGTGACACTGAAGACTGGAGTAATGGCTGCTGAAAATTCAGCTTTGCCATCACAGGAATAAATTACTATTAATTTATAGTATAATAATCCAATAGTATACAATAGCAGAGAACACTCTAGTTCACACTATGTGATTTTAAGCCCGATTTAAGCCCGATTTGCAAATCGTTGAGTCGCCGACAAGTCAGGGTGTTATCGCGTGCAAATCGCGGGCGATTAGCGGACGATTAACGCTCGCCAACCGTTAGTGTGAAAGAGCCAACAACGCATCAAAGACAGCTCGCAGACAGTTCACCGAGCTCAGAAAAATATCTAGCATGCTAGATATCTCGAGCAGTCGCGCGACTCAATCTCAGTGATGTCATGAGTACAGCCAATCATAGCAACGCATGGGTTGGGGACACCAGGTAAATCTTACTTTTTCTTTTTTTGCATTTTTTTTTCTCAGAGCAGATCGTCGAGCAAACAGTGTGCAGCACTAGTTTCTGTCTGACGTCCATATTCCCGTGTTGTGTTCTTCTCTGCAGTTTCGCGTCATTTCTGGTTCGTTTTATTGCGTGGTTTTTCGTTACAAAACATGGTTTCTAGACCAGATAGAATCGTGTTGTTGTCAACTCGTTATTTGTTTGATTATTTTCAGGATTTAGACCGTACTATAGTACTGTAACAGCTCTCATTGAGTCACAAATGATATGCTCTTATCACCTGATCGTGGTTGTATCTCTATGTAGTGCGTTGTTAACTCGTGTAGTGAGTTACCTCCTGTTGTGGATCAATCACGTTGTGTTGTGTGGTGTGAACAGCTAAACAACTTGAACACTCATGATTTCACTGAGAGCAAGTCATGTAGTGTGAACTGCACAGTTCAGCCCGACATTTTAAAATCATGTAGTGTGAACTAGGCATTCGACAACCCCAAATATTTGCATTTTTATGCTAACAATTATCAAAGAAGCTATTCCGACCAAAGACCAAAAAAGTCACATGACAATACATTTACTAAATAAAGGATATACCTTCAATGTATGTGAAAAGTGATAACATTCACACACTCACCTCATAAGCCGTACTCGGCACTACATACAGTACATATCACATCTTCAGTTTACTAATACAGACTGGCAAAGGTTAACACCAGCACACACACACACACAAACACACTAGGATCCATGATAAAACACATCCCCCCTTTTTTCTATATGCTAAGCAAAACCTTTATGCAAGAAAAAGGAAAAAATCTCTGCGTCTTGAATAACTATTTTTCTGATCCAGTTTAATTCTGATGCTTAGGTGGTTTATGAGAATTGAAGAGAATTCACACATCTTTCCTCCTGGAGAACCATTTCACTCCACTTTTGTTTTCTTTTTTTTAATTCAGTTTGTGTATTAGTGGTGGGAATTTTCAAACCTATCAAACTGTCTGCAGGTTACATTATAACCTTATTACGAGCGAGTGAGTGAATGAATCATTCACTAAACTGACTCGTTCAAAAGCAAAGATTCATACAGTAAACAATTACTATACGTTGCAACTGTGTGGTGAATGAGACATGAACCAGTTGATTCTGTTTAGGCTTTTTTTATTTTTTTCATTGGCGGCGCAAAAAACAAAAACATAAATCTTAATATCGCTTTTAAAATGTAAGTTCTCAATATTAACTTCTTTACTGAACATTTCCACTGGAACATGATCAGGTAAGTGTTTATTTAAAATATTTCACACAAGCAAGAGTGATGTTATTCTGAATATATCAACAGGGTTGCAGGCATTAGGCACAATATATTGAGTATTATTCTGTGACAATTATTTAGTATTATTTAATGATACAAGATCTTTACTAAATTAAAATTTAGTAATTTTACTTGTATGTTGCTTGTATATATCTGCTTAAATAAAGCTAGTGTGAAATTCTATGTAGCAGAACCATACAACACAGCCTATTTGTTATAGCCTAAGAAGAAAGTAGAACTGTAACAGTCTGCCAACAGATTATCTCCTGACCTCTTTCTGTTGCCTCTCCAATTCCTTCATACGGATTTCTCGAGCTTCTGCCCGGGCTGCCCGTTTAGCTGCCAGTCTTGCCTCCGCCTGGTAGAAAAACAGAGAGAGAGAGACTGAATTGTATTGCATTTTTGTTTCAATACAAATGAAAGTCAAGACTATTTACCAGTTTGAGTGAGAAGGGAAGTTTGTATGACAGAGAAAACCCTTTTCTGTTTGAGTTTTATGCAAAGCAAATGCTAAAACTGAAGTTGAGAGTTCTTGGAATGTAATCTAATTAAGCTATTCAAAGACTTTCAGTGATCAATCCATTATAGTTTTAATCTCATCATTGACTTGAGGGGGTGGAAGTCCCATAGAAAAGAGTACCAATCAGTAGCACCACAACCAAGATTAAGACCCATTAGAAATGACTGTTCTACCTATAAAGAAAATGTTTGAAACATAACAACAAAATCAACATGATGGTCAAGGAAAAATATAATCAACTGTTATATAACTGTAAAAATAAGTATTAATAGATTGTAATATTGTAAGCTGTAAACACAAACATTGTGTTATTATGACCACAAACACTGATTGTGAACTAAAGTAACCAGTAAAGCACGCACACACACAAACTGTGCCAGGAAAGAATATCTCACTCACTGCCTCCAAGCTGCCATTTCCGGTCAACAAGTGAAACCCACAGCATAACTGAGAAAGAAATGCTGCTCAACAACCCAACTGATGTACATCATCAGTGTAAATGCGTACTATCTGCCACCAAATAGCATTTTTTGGTCCTCACACTTTGGTTTAAACCAATGTCTCCAATGTCTCAGTGGCTAAAGCCAGATGAAACAGAACTGACAAACAGGAGAAACAAAACACTGCGTGCAACAATACAGTCACAAGGCTTTTCATTCAACAAAAAATCGCCATCATTTATATGGGTTACTGAAGTAACACTAACTGCACCATGGTATTGTGGCAGAAATGTGGGATATTCAAATAGAATTAATGTAGACATGTATTAAATATATTAAAGAGGTGGTTGATTATGATTTCACTTTTCAAACTTTAAAGGGGTGTTGAACTGATAAATCAAAATTTTCTTGAGCTTTTGACATCTAAGAGGTCATCATATTATAAGAATATCCTGTAAGTTTCAGAACTGAAAACGTGCTTGTTAGTCCAATAAAAGCTTTTATTGACACCAGCCTCAGCAAACGACTCGTTTTTCAAAGTGGGGAACTACGACGTCAAAGAGGATAAAACACCACCCCACAGAAGAAGATCAACGCCTACTTCAACACGGCCGGTTTAGCCCCGCCCTCCGATTCGTGCATTAAACGCATAGCTAAATAACATAGATTCCTAACTCGTGATGACAAACCGGAGCTACCAAGCAAAACAAAATGTGTGGAAGAACACAGTCACTGAATATGCTTCATCTGACTGGATTCCAATAGGTCGGTTAACCCTCAGGTGCTCTTCGTCCATTCCTGAACGAAAAATTTTCAGTTTTGACATTTTAAAAATCACAGCTTCATCGGAATGTTACGAAACTTGGTGAGTTTTATGGCATTGGGTATGTGAACACACAAAAAAATTGAAGTCATGATACGAGCAGGCTAAGTGGTCGTAAAAAAAATAGTCACACTTGTGCTCTTCGGTCAAAAATGAGCGACTATAGGAAATGAATGGGAAATGAACAAAAACACAAAAACTTTGAGAATTTTTGTGTGTACAATCTACAAATCGGCCACGATGCAGAAAAAAAGTGCTCAGCATTGAAGGGGTGACACTCTAAAATATCAAGGGTGCAAAACAGACATACCCACCCCTATACACACACACACACACACACACACACTTTTATACACAAAAACACCAATAAATTGTGATTAAAGAAATCTGTTTTGAATATTTAAAAATCACAGCTTCTTCAGAAAATTACGAAACTTGGTGACTTTTATAGCATTGGGTATGTGAACACACAAAAAAATTGAGGTCATGATTCGAGCAAGTGGTCATAAAAAATTAGTCACACTTTTGCTCTTCTGTTAAAAATGACCGACCCATAGGAAATGAATGGGAAATTGACAAAAAAATAAATAAATTCTCTGAATTTTTGTATGTACAATCGACAAATCGGCCACAATTCTAAAAAAAAAAAGTACACCGCAAGAAAGGGGCACTCTACAACATCTAGAGTGCAAAACAGACACACCCACCAACACACATACACACATACAAACACACTTTCATACACATACACACCAATAAATTTTGATTACAAAAAGTATGTTTTGAATTTTTAAAAATCACAGCTTCATCGCAATGTTACGAAACTTCGAGACTTTTATGGCATTATGTATGTGAACACACAAAAAAAAAAAATCAGGTCATGATCTGAATATGCTAAGTGGTCTAAAAAAAAAATAGTCACATTTGTGGTCTTTGGTCAAAAATGACCCCCATAGGAAATTAATGGGAAATTGTAAAAAAAAAAAAAAAAAAAAAGTGAATTTTTGTTTTTTTGTCATTTTTTTTATAAGAAATAGTTTTTGAGATTGTTTCACCTATATATTCAAATCCAACAACAACAAAAAATGTCTTCATAAACAGCTGGGGAATTCACATGCCTCTCTACAGAGAGCTGTACATGCCATCAAGTGGTTACACCATGATTCTATGCTTTTTCTCTATACTGTAACCAGATGGTGCTAATTTTCTTCAAAAAATATTTTTTTTTCTAAAGGCCTAAACTCTATATTAAACTAAAATACTGCATTAATATTTTTTTGAAAAAAATAATATATATATAGAAACATATATATACTTTTCCATGGCAAAAATAAACCATAAATATTGCATAAATATTAATAAATTCAATTAAATTATCTCAAAATACTAAATTAAAAAGAATAAATATTATAGAACAAAAATAAATTGCATTGGTTTTACTGGGATGGAGAAAGTTTCATTTTTAGGTGTCCGGTCACTTTTGACCGGGAAGATAACAAGTGTGACTCCGAAACGAAGAGCACCTGAGGGTTAAACTTAATTTTTAATGACGTTCCAGAAGATGAGGGTAAAACATTGTCCGTCTGTTTGCTTCATTTCAATGAGGATAAACAAGACTGGATTTGCAGGCCGATTAAGAGTAAAGAACGGTGCTGTGCCGTCTATATTGGATCTGACAGGAATGGTGCAACAGACTCTGGGTCGAACATGTATGGGCGAATCATTCCGGTGGCCATTTTACAACATTGGAAGTTTTCAGAACAATTTCCCCCACGCCACGTGCACAAACAGGTGAGTTGAAACTGATTATAATATGCAAAACTGTTATCCACTCATAGCAGTGGGTGTTTACTTCCAAGTCTCCAGTGTGAGACTCCCATAAAAACCTAGCGTTTCAATGTTTTTGAATGCAAAAACCAAGTGAACATCATAAGTTGACCTCAGACAACAATAGAATCAAATTTAAAAAGCCAGTTCATGACCATCCATCCATATTTTCACATGCAATACAGTACGTAACACAAATGGAATAGCATGTCACTTTGAATGCATCTTACAACAGTTCCCACATGAACGATTTTTGTAGATTATCATGACGGAAAATGCTAATCAATGACTTGAAGATAGTTAACTCCACATCAGAAACATAAATTCATCAACCATTCAGAAACTTCATGTTGCATTCTACATGTTGTCACTTCTTCTTGAGTCTCTCCATCATTGACTCCACTTTAAACATAAAACGCAGAACAGGTAATCGGAGCTGCTAACACACACAAGCTCTTGAAGCTCCACCCTCTGTGCCCGGAGCAGCAGCTCAATTGCATTTAAAGGGACACACGAAATGACACATTTTTACTGACCCTCAAAAAGGGACAATTTTAACATGCTATAAACAATTATCTGTCGGGTATTTTGAGCTAAAATTGAGGCTAATGTTTTTCATACAAATACCATAGAAACCATCTACAGTAGTTACATTTTACCATGGTATGAGGTCCTATGCAAAGTTTTAACTGGTTATCATAATCTGAATGTTTGCTACTATGGTTTATCTGAATAAAACTCTATCAGTCAGAAAACTAAATCAGACAGAAAAATGTTAATGTTACCATATAAAAATTAGTTTAAAATTTAAAAACGATTTTTACAGATATAATTGTTTAATTTTTCTTTGCCATTTTTGTGAATGTTTGCTGTTTTTGTAAATGAACATACATTTCCATCTGCAACCTAACTCAAGCTACAACTGTAATATGTAATATTATTAATATTGCAGCCTGCACTCTGCACTGCAAACTGTGCTGAAGACACACATCATCTAAGACACAAACCATTTTCAATCTATTAAGTTTTGACAATTAAGATTTACATTCTGGTTTTTACAACTTTCCCTTAGGAGCAAAAATCTGCCTTTAAAACTTGAAAGAAATAAAGATTTGACATTTATTGTTGTCACAAACTGCTCTGAAACACTGGTCCAAACACAAATTTATTAGGGCAATTCACAATCCATAAAACAGGTAGTAATTCAAAATAATGATGGGCAATTTCGAAACAGTGCTTCATGAAGCTTCGAAACCTTTACGGATCTTTTGTTTCGAATCAGTGGTTTGGATCGAGTATCAAACTGCCAAAGTCACGTGATTTCAGTAAACGAGGCTTCGTAACCACATACGAAACCTTTGGACATTTCAATGGTATACAGACTTGACAATAATAAGTTAAATACATTTGATAGATTTTACTTTGAATAAAACATTTGCAATGCATTTATAAAAGGTTTTTATGCATGTTTGACCTTAGTTTTGTTGTATTTCCACTGTTCTGAAAAGCAGGTACCGCTACACCTGTGGCGCTTCAAACACTCCGAAACAGTGAATGATTTTCTCCAAGAACGTCTTTGAACGTCTCCAAGATGTCTGTTAAAGATCACTTCTTCTGGAAAGCATCTGCTGTTTAACATTCTTATAGACGTCTTTAAGATGTTAGTTTTGCATACATTCTAAATCATAAACATCTTAAGACATTTTCTAAACATCTATTTGACATCTGACGGGCAACGTCCTATAGAC